CTCAGAAACCCGGGCGCCAGGCCAGCGCCTCTGGTTCTAAAACACCCACGGCACATACACACACCGCACACCATGCCACACACCGCACACAATGCCCCGCTTCCCTTCCCTGGCCTCGGAGAAAATGACCCCAATTACCCAGCCCCGCCAGTTCCAGGCCCCCAGACTGTGGTCCTCCCTGCCCGCTGCCTTGCCTTACCCATGCAAGCCCTGTGGGCCCCCCCCCCCCCCCCCCCGGACGTGCTGCACGTCTGCCCACCTCCTTCTGCACCAGCACCAGCACCAGCACCAGCACCGTGGTCCGGGCTGTCCCCTCTGGGGCCCAAACCCTGGCAGCAGCCCCTTGCTGGGCTCCCTGCTTCGTGCGCTCCCAGCTCGTTCCGTCTCCCCGAGCAGCTGCAGGCCCGCTTCAGGACGTGATCAGGTGTTACCATTTTCCTTCCCGTTCCCCTCTGAGCGAGCACCAGGGGCCTCACGGGGGTTAGCCTCTGCGGCGGCTCGCTCACCTCTTCTCTGCTCCCTCTGGTCCCCACCCTTGCACTTCCTCCCCACACCCTCCTGGGGTCCTCTCTCCACGACTCATCGGTGAACATCGTGCTTAGTGTCAGATCTGTGGCCACCTCCTCCAGGCAGGCTTCCCTGTTGATCTGAGGGACGGTCACCCCCACCCTTCATTCTCTACCAAGGCACCTTGGTTTACTTTCCCAATGACATTGAATGCTTTCTGGAAGTGTTGAACTTGCTCATTGTATCTGCTCTGCTCTCCCATTGCAATGTGAGCTCCTCAAGGCAGGAACCCCACTGCTCTGGCTTGTCTGCTGCAATGTCACTATTGGATATTGGGCCTGGTAGGACAATCACTTGACTGAGGTAGATCCAAATGTGGATGATGTTTATCTGTTGAATGGGGGAAGTTCATGGTGACACTGTAGCTGTGGGTCGGGTCCTGAGCGGGTGGTGGGAGGTTCCTCTCGGCTCTGCCTTTCAGGGTAAGCCCTGCAGGAGAGGCCACTGTAGGTGCCCCAGTCCCAAAGGACCGCCTCCCACCTGTGCCGTGGTGCTGTGGGGTCACCTCGGGAAGGAGCCTGGGGAGGCTTGCAGGCTGCGGGGCTGCACCAAGTGCAGGCTGCCTGCTCGGAAGCTGACAGATGGGTCCCATCTGGTGAGTGGTGCTGAGTACCCGGATGCATTGTCACGTGCCATTGTCCCTGCACCCCATCAGCAGGTCCTTCTTCCACTGCATCACGGTCGTGGAAATGGGCTCCGTGGAGCGTGCAGTAACTCACCCAGGATCCCAGAGCCAGGCACCTCTTACCCCTCAGGCCTGACTGCAAGGCCCGGCTGTCACCCTAGCTTTCTCCTCCCCCTGGGTGCCTGGGCTCTCAGCCTCCCTGAGCCTCAGTCCCCGCCTTTAAAACAAGAAGAAGCTCACAGCCACTTGCTGGCGCACAGGTGCAAGGACCAAGTTCCCAGAAGCACAGACGCGGCCACCGGGGTGGAAGAAGGAAAAGCCAGACAATGTTCCCAGGAACTTCTCGCCCTCAGCAGTGGCTGATCCCAAGCCGGTGCAGACCCGGCAGAGGGTGGGGCAGGCTTGCTCCCTTGTGAGCCTACAGCAGGCTCCCCAGGAGTGAGAGGAGGGCTGGGAACGGGCTGACTAGGAGTCAGACCAAGGCTTAGGGCAGAGGATGGCTCACTGAGTGCCGGCCACCTGTCCCCCTGCTGCTGCCAAGGACGTCTTCCCACCCAGCATCCCCACCTGCAGGGCTAGAAGGAAATGAGACCGGAGGGGGCGGGGCCTGGCGGTTTTCTGCCCACAAGGACCTGCTGGCTGTGCATGACTCCACGGTCCCGGTTTTAGCCCCTGCGTCAGGTGTAATGCGGTACTGATTGCTCCAGCTTTGGCTGCGGGGCACTGTCCCTAGTGTACCCGTGTCCTTGCACACGCCCTGTCCTTTCTTCACGCTGACCCTACGAGATGTTCCAGCCTCCTGCTTTATGCTCCAGCACATCCTAGGA